CTGGAATGTTCATCACAAGATTGGCAGTTCAAACCCACTAGCCACTCTGAGGAAGAAAGTTGGAGCTGTCTGCTCCAGTAATGATTTACTTGGTTAATATGAGATGCAATTGAACCAACAGAATGTGGGAATTATGAAATAACATCATTAATATCACACAAAATTAAAAGTTTTATGTAGACAATTAAAAAATGGTTACAACAGCATATTGACAGGGAACAACCAGAAATTCATGCTGGATTCAGAAGAGGACATGGAATGAGGGATATAATTGCTATTGGCAAAGAATACCTGAAAGATGTTTACTTGTGTTTCATTGACTATGCAAAGACATTCAACTGTGTGACTCGTAATAAACTATGGATAACATTGCAAATCAGGGAAATTTCAGAACACTTAATTGTTCTCATGCAGAATCTGTACACAGAACAAGATGCACGTGTTCAAACAGAACAAGGGGATACTGTGTGGCTTCAAATCAGGAAAGGTGTGCATCAGGGTTGTATTGTTTCACTATATTAATTCAGTCTGTATGCTGAGCAAATAATCCGAGAAACATAATGGATTATATGAAGAAGAATATGGCATCAGGATTAGAGGAAGACTCATTAGGAGCCTGTGATATGCAAATGACACATATGTTTGTTGAAAATGAAGAACACTTCAAGTTTTTGCTGATGAAAATCAAAGAATGTAGTCTTCAGTATGGATTATAATTCAATATATAAAAAAATAAAAATCCTCACAACTTGACCTATAAACAACATGATGATAAATGGAGAAATAATTGAAGTTTCAAGGATTTAATTTTACTTGGATCTCCAATTAGTGCTCATCAAGGCAGCAGTAAAGAATTCAAACCATATATTGCATTGGGCAAATCTGCTGCAAAAGACCTCTTTAAAGTGTTCAGAGCAAATGTGGCACTTTGAGGACCAAGGTGTGCCTGACTGACGCCTATGGTATTTTCAGTTGCCTCATTTGTATGTGGGACTCCTGGTCTGGTGATGTAGGATAAGTGCTGGACTGTGAACCACAAGGTCAGTGTTTCAAACCCAACAGCTGCTCCTCAGAAATCCTGTACAGGGTTGTTATGACTTGACGACAGTAAACAATACTACAACAGATGTATGTGAGAACTGGATAATGAATAAGGAAGAACAGAGAAGAATGGATGCATTTAAATTATGGTGTTGGCGAAGAATATTGAAAGTGCCATGGATTGCTAGGAGAACCTGTAGATCTGTTTTTAGAATGCGCTTAGAAGCAAAGATAGCAAGACTTCCCATATATTTTGGACATGTTATTAGGAGAGACCAGTCCCTGGGAAAGGACATCATGTTTGGTAAGGTAGAGGGTCAGTAGTGTTAAAGAGAAAGATCCCCCATGAGATTCATTGACAAAGGGGCTGCAACAGTGGGTTAAAAATTAAGGATAATGAGGATGGCTCAGGACCAGGTAGTGTTTCATTTTGTTGTATATAGAGTTACCATGAGTTGGAGCCGATTTAAAGGCACCTAACAATTTGGAGGCCTGGTGTGGCGCTGTGGGTTAATGCGTCACACTGCAAAGCCGGTTTGAACTGCAAGATTGGAGGCTCAAGCTCACCAGCCACTCCTTGGAAACCCTACACAGGGTCGCTATGGGTCGGAACCGACTCAACGGCACTTAACAACAACAACAATCTGGAGTCCTGATGTGGCGCTGTGGGCTAATGCATCAGACTGCAAAGTCGTTTGAACTGCAAGGTCGGTGGTTCAAGCTTACCAGCTACTCCTCGGAAACCCTATACAGGGTCGCTATGGGTCGGAATCGACTCGATGGCACTTCACAACAACACAACAACAACAACAACCTGGTGTGGCGCTGTGGGTTAATGCACCAGACTGTGAAGCCGTTTGAACTGCAAGGTCAGCAGTTC